TTATTTAACATCAGAAAATTTACGCAGAATTAAGAAGAAGGGCTGACCTTAAGAGAGGTAAAAGGAAAGAAAACTTTTTTTTTCTTCTAGGTTATTTTGTCCAGTCTGCCCAGTTTAGTAGTGATCAGAGTCCCAATCCTGTTAATTCTGTGTGTTGACTGGTTCGCCCTAACAGTAGTTTCTTGCGTATGGAGTTTGGCAGTCTCAGCAGAAAACCACATCACAGATAACTTTTGTGCCTCCCTCTACCACATAGCAAAGAAATCAAGGATTAAATGGATTAGATCCCAGTGACTGACCTACATCTTACACTGTAGGATGAAGTGTGCTGCCAGGTATGGGAAGAGTTTGATCCTCTTCTCCTGCTGTGTGGATAAATCCAGGTGGGACATCATGCACACAAATCTGAAACTGTGGATGGTTACATGAGAAGATCCAACTGGTGTTCCTCTGAATTCGAGTTAGGGAGCTGCTCTTCTTCAGTGGAGACACAAGTTCAGCTGCAGTTCATGTCTGCATTGAAAGGCCACTCCAGTGGCAAACCAAGATATTTTACCAACTTCTTTACCTGATTTTCAGGTGAATTGACAGATTTAGTACTCTGCTTGCAAGGCTGTACTGGCTATTTAATTAACCCCTATTACCTGAGAGTAATAGCTGTTACAGTGTGAGACTGAAACTTCAGCTTCTCCTAAATGGATTAGGGATTGCAGCTGTAAGATACTCAAGCTTTTCTTATGACATCAGTCAGACCTTTCTCAGCTGGTGGCATGGAGTAGGGATGGAAACTGCCTCAGCTAGATAGTAAATCCATTTGCTTTAGGTCTGCAGTATTCCTCTGGGACATGTACATGAAGTACTTCTCTTAAAAAACAAAACCAAACAAAAAACAACACCCGCCCCTGCCTCCCAAACCTGGTCTTTGCTACCTCTTAATACTCTATTAGGAAGCCACAGTAGAAAATGTCTCCATAAAAAATGTAAGTGCTCAAGGAGAATAAGCAGAATTCCACACTATTAGGAGCTACTGTATGTCTAGTTGAAATCCCAATCGATAGGTTCCGCTTCCATGTTTATGTAGAGACTTGGAATGAAAGTCAATGCCTATTAAAGGTGGCCAGAATTCCAGCCATCTTCAGAGAGCTAGGATCTCACGCTAAATTACTTGGATTTTCTTTTTTGAAATGATAAATGTTTTGTATTTCCCATATAGTTAGTTACCCTTTCTGTGTAGCCAAATCCTACTTCTAAGCAAATGCATTTCAAGTGTTTTTAAGCTCAGTTTTGGTCTGACAGTCAAAAATAAGAGGTCATTTCAGTCAGATAAAAATATGGGATACGAAGGAGGTTTGTTACCTAGCAAAGTTTGGAAGATTCTCATAAATGGTTTTGGTGAAGGCATAAAGAGTGTTGGCAACTTGCAAATTAGCCTTGGAGTTTGTTTTTAATAAAGGTATAAAATGTAGCACCTCAGGCTTCTGCTTTGCCTCCTCCATGTGCAATAACCTCAGCACACACGCCTATCACCAGCCAAGGTAAGTTTCTCTTTATCTGAATTGGAGTTTTGGGGATTATGAAACAAGATTTGGTCATTCAGGAGCACCCACAGATGCATGTGAAAACAAGGAATAATGAGCATGAGGAATCACACATGGAGGAAAACAGACAGGCCCTTAAACCCGAATGTTGGTACCTAATTCCATCCTCTTGTACATCTTCTAGTACCTCATAACTGGCTTCATCTGAACACAAGCCAATTCTGTTTCAAGTATACATCCAGAAGTCTTCACAGCCGAGCCTATCTATGCCCCACATTGTTCTGTGTGCCATACAACTGCTGAGATTTTCATACAATTAATTCTGTTTCCGTGGATAGCCTCACCACCACCCCAGTGTGGGCAGGCTATTGTGGACAGAGCTGCAGGTGAGCTGATGAACCCCTAGTTTGTCCAAGAATTCAGCGGTTAAAGGACAGTATGTCAAACAGACATGTTGGAATTTGTCTTTCTCTGCTCTGGATGCCCAGGACCTGCTAGGCTGGGAGCTCCTGCCTTCCCAACTTCTCCACCAAGCACTAAGCCTTCCTGAAGAGGTCTGAGTTTCCATGCTGTGGAGCGCTAAACCTTGACTCCCGCAGAGCTTGTCCTTCCAAGTTTTTCACGCTTACTTCAGTCTTTGAAAGAGTAGCAGAACTCACTGCATACAAGTTACCAACAGGTACTGAGGATACGTTCCAGCAGTTCTCTGTGGAAAAATGCAAATGATGGGGGGGAAAGACAATCACACTAGATTTCATGTAAATAGTTTAATTATATTTCAATGCTTAAAACACAGAAACACTTGAATTAAATTACATCATAATGCTTCTGCTAAATTGCACGTATACTTCCAAGAACTGTGAGAGGAGGTGCTATTGAACCAAAAGAATACTCCAGTACAAGCCCAGCAAATACCCGTAATATTCTTTTAGTCTTACTATCTGTACTTCTTTAATCTAAGGGCAGTCATCACAGGACAAAGCCTACCATTATAGGAAGAATGGTTAAAGAGAATTCCTCTGGAGGTGTATTTGCTATAGAAGATATATCTCAGCATTAACATGGAACAAGATGCACGTTTTTGCACCTGAGCTGGCAGATGCGCTGCTTGGCAGCTGCCTGCGCAGCACATGGAGTTGGGTAAAAAGCACAAAACAGGCTGTTGGTCTGAGGGAACAGCTCAGCTTACACTTGCCTTTTATCAAGTTCAAAACAACAAATGAAGTTCCAATCCTAAGAGTTCTAAGGGGAACGTTGTGATTTAGGACAGCCATCCACCCCTGCTGCCACTTTGCATCCCTGTCCTGCTGCAGAGCGTGGGAGTGTGACAGGCAGCGACGTGCCAGCTGCTGAAGGGAGAAATCTGCTGACTCTCTGCCTGCCTGCCCTCAGTGAGCACTTGGAAGAGATGGTAAGTGTGCATATGCATGTCGGGTGATGTATTTACTTCTCAGCTGGCCACGTAGGCATAACCTCTGGGAAGAGACCCACAGATAGTGTCCAAATTCTAAGGACCTAAGCCAGATTACATTATTTGTACCCACGCACCTTCCTTCTAACAGTATCCCTGGAATGCAAACACAGCAGCAACCAGCAGCCTCAGAGTGCCTCCTGCCAGATCTCCTGGGTATGGAGGATGGGCTGTTTTCCACAGGTTATGACACTCCTAGCCCTAATACACTTCCAGAACTCCCTGGTTTTAAAAAAGAAAGAGACATACTGAAAAATTAAAGCAACTCAGCCCTGCAAAACTGCCATGAGGGAAGCTGTGTCAGTGAAGAAAGGAAGGCTGGTAAGGAACTGTGCACTGCAGGGGTCAGTGGCACATGCCCTGGAAAGAGTCTGCATTTAATGAATACAGGGGAAAAAACAATCACAGTGGGGAAGAAAAAAATAAGATTTGGGAGAACAAAAACTAACTGGCAGGTCCAAACTTGCAAAAAAGCACACAATACCTGAATTGCCACTCAGTGAAACATCTCCTTGCATAAAGCCTACCTTTAGATCTGTGTTCAAATTTTGGCTTGCCCTGATTCCCTTTTGACTGGTGTGGTGGATGGAATATGATCTGACTGACAAATGTATGTACTGCAAAAAAATCAGGAGGTGATCAGTGCATGGCTGGGCACTGATGCTTGCATGCAGGCTCTGTTGCTGGCCCCCTGGCTGCTGTGCTGGCCTGCAGCACTCAGGGCTGGTGGCCAACAAAAGGCTCTGCAGAGGCTAGCCCCCATGCTGCACTGCAGCACGCCAAGGTGGCCAGAGACCCCTTCTCACTCTCTCCCTCCTGCAGCCCTGAAGGATTACAGGGTTACAGGGAAGCTCCTGGCTTACCTGTCTAGTCCCACCTTCTGCATTAGCAGGTAACGTAAGCAGAGGCTAACACAAAGCTCCGTGTTTCTTTTTTTTAGGAAGATGAGAAGGCTCTGACTGCAGGTCCTGGCAGGTAAGGAAGTACAAACCAGCTGATCAGTCACCTCTGGGGGCAGACATGGGGCTGTTGTAATGTTGAGCCAATACACGTTTTTCCTTATTTAAAAGAAAATATTTCAAGGCTTTACCTTTTTTTCTGGATAACGCTCTGCACTATAGAAACTTCCCTGAGCCAAAGCAGGAGGGGGATACATGGTATCGGACCTGCAGTTCTACTTGACTCCTCTTTGTGGCCCAAGCACCGTTATTCCTAGCTCAGTGGCAGGGACTCACATAGCCAGACATTGACATCCCCTGCCTCTGGCTATGTGAATTCTCCTCTGTCTATACAGCAGCCCTAATTTGGGGTATTTAGCCACTCCCTCAGTTAAGATGTACTCAGCCAAATGTTCACCATTTCACTTTTTAAAGCTAGTGAATTTCCCATGCTTCAACATCACCCTGGGTGCACATTTATCAGCAGCCCACATGCCACAAGGGGGATAAGCCCATAGTATGTGTTTTCCCTGGCATGCTCCAGATTACTACTCAGCTAGGGGAGTCAGCTCTCCTTGCTCAAAGGGCCTTTACCACCAGTCCCCCCTCCAGGATCTGCCAAAGCTGTGGTCACTGTACAGAGAGGCTCATTCATCGCTTTCCTTAGGGTCTGGTGGCACAAAGCCAATGGGGCAGCTCTCTGAAACATGCACCTCTCCTCCTTCCCTGACCCAGAGACAAGTTAATCTACAACAAAGCAGGCCCTGTTCCTAAGCACGTAGCTTGGTAGATGGTATCAGTCAGCACCAGCCCAGACACTGGAACTCAGGACCTTTTAGTGGTAACAGACGCACCAAAAACTCACCACTACCATCACAGAGGGTTTGCTTCCCAAAGTGACGACAGTTCCCAGTGCTTGTGCCTATTTGTAACACAAACCAACAGGGTGACCAGCTGGGCTCAGTGGATCAGCCATGCTTGCGGGAAGTCACTGGTTTGTTGGCTTCATCCTCCCCAGTCTCACCACGCTCCCAGAGCAGGGGCAGGTACTGTTCATGCATTGATGGCACTGGCAACGTCTGTGAACACAAGACGGCTGGGTCTCTGCAGGGCTCCTTGACTTGTCAGCAGAATCTGCATTGAAGCAGTGAAAGATGAGACCCAGCAAATCTGCCTTTGCTCAAGTGCACGTGTTTGGGTACAGACTGCACAGTATTGTAACTAGATTTCGCCCCTTACTACGGGGAGGCTGGCTGACTACCAGGGCATTAACAAGGCTGTGACAGAAAAATACAACAGGCCAGAGAGCAAGTCAGCACATCCATGCCAGTTTAAAATCCCCACATCATTGGATTACTGGATCTCACTATTTATATATCCAACGCAGCATGAAAAGACTTGAAACATCAAGAAGGCCTGGAAACATGCTATAGACTGAACTTTGGTGGTTGTTTTAGACTCTCCTCCTCTTATTATGTTAAGCCTTTAAAATTGCATACTTTCCAAGCAGAGGTATCTGTGCATTAGCAAGCTCTGGAGGGATCTGAGGTATCCTGCTGGCCAGTACCTGTATAGGAAGGATCTGCTTTTACTGTGCTAAGTTTAACTCTGGCCTTGTCATTCCTCCCCTTTACTACCCGAAGCGAAGTCCTCTATGAGCACTAATAGGGGGATCTGATGTTTTCCCAGTAGGTGTTACTCAGAGGACAAGACCCTTTGCTTTTATACAACATATTTCTTGCTTTCCCAAACCAGTGTATGGAATATGATGACTATCTTTCATACTCTAACATACGCATGTCTCCTTTGTGCTCTTTAGCAGGTTGGGAAGCACGTCTCAAGGCAAGTATTTTATAATTACAGTTGTATTTATTATCTCCTCTTTCTCTTTCTGCCCACACCAAGCTTGCTACAGATTATCTGAAGGTGTAAAGTGTGTGGAAACGGAGAATTGCTCCTGCTCCTGGAACTGGAAAAGCAAGGGAAGACACGGGCAACACAGAGCAGCTGGAGAGGGATTCAAGGAAGGAGACATGTCTACTCTAAGGCGAGGCTGCATTTCTGTCTAAGAGACGTACCTGTTTGAACCATCCCTGCCGGCTCTGTCTTTCAGAAAGGCTTTTACTGCGGTGGTGGTGACAAAGGAAACAGAAAACACTGTGAAGCTGGCTGCAAATGATGGTGAGAAGCCCTTCTTCCCTATTTTTCCTACTTCTTGGTACACTGGGGAAGGAGATAGGTCTTTGACAAGAGGCTCTCTGTCTGGACCATTAACCAAAAACAACTGGCCAAGCTATCCAGCTCTTTCCTAACTCACAAATGCAGTAAGTCAGTGGTCTCTGAGCACCTTATAATTTCTCAGCATGCTACATGCCTTTGAACACTCAGAAGTGCTCAAAGCAAAGTCATCTTCTCCTCTCCCCAAATTCAAACAGAGACCTCTCCTCCCTTTTCCCTTTCTGAGCCATGCCTGCTCTGTGCCCAGGTAGGTAGGCCTGGAGGTGCTGACAAGACCAGATGTGCCATGCGACAACAATGTGCAGGCTTTCTGCCTGCGTTCTTCTGGGCTTGCAGCACAGTTAACTTATGATTACAGGCTTTCCCTCAGCAAGGCCTTGATCCACAATTACATCCTTTGACAAAGCAGGGGATGCCATAAAACTAGGTGGAAATTATTTGCTTTTCGGGGCCAGGGTAAAGGAGCCTCAGTGCTTTGTGGGTATTGAAGCCCTGTCTCCCAGAAAATGGCATTCATCCTACTGCTCCCTTGTGGTGCCCTGGGTGGTAAACTGTAGTAAACTCGCCCTTAATTACTGCAGTTGCCCTATTCCCTTTCCTAATTGAGTAGAGCCAGCACTTTGCCTCACCAGGCTCTTCATCCTAGTTGCTGGCCTCTTCAGTCCATCCTAAGCACTCCATAATGCTCAATCTCCCTATCTCCAGGGCTGGGAGGGATGAGGGAAGTCCTCCTGAGGTCTTACATGGTTTCCTTACCCTACAACTCTACAAAAACTCTTTGACTCTATAAAAAACGCAGTGCAAGTTCCAGTGGTTGTAGTAACAGAGTCGCTGGGCCCTGCTGCCTACCTTGCTCTGTGATGCCTGGGAAGATGCTGCATCTCGCCCATGTTCCAGCAGCTCCTGCTCCAGTTCATCCTGTTCCTCAGTGGGATCAAAGTTGTACATGGGCATGAGCTGGTGCCGTAGCTTCTCCAACCTGCCCGTGGGAGGGAAAAGGGAAAGGTTTGGTTGAGAACTACAGCTGCTCAGGCTGCCTTCCCCACCCCACTGCTGTGGCTTTCTGCAGACTGTTTCTCCTGCTGCACAGGGATTCTGCTCTTGTTGCTCTGACTGGATAAGGGTCATATCCTGTCCTGCAGGGATGAGGATAAGAACCTACTACACACAGCTGGCAGGAGTGGAAGATACCCAGAGTGCAGTTATAGGGATTAATTGCCATCACTAATCTATGTTGGCAGGCACTATGCACAGAGGAATCAGACAGGGATTTAAGTTCCTGCAGACCTTAAAAGATCAAGCTTTATGCGGTTGGACAAAAGAGATGGTGGAACATACTGGCTAGGCATTTTGCAACTTCTCCCCCTGTCCCTCTGCCCACAAAAGCCAGCCCTGCCATGTCACACTGTGTCTGCCAGAAGAAGTCCACTTTGAGTTCCAGCGGCCTAAGAGTAGTACTTTAACTCTGGAGTTGAAATACATAAAAATAAATAGAAAATAATAAACAATAAATAGAAAATAGGAAACAGATAGATTCTCATAGGAGGCTGATGCCTGTGGACAGACTGTTCTTATTCCTATATCATTGCTTCAAGTGACAGAGCTGTAGTACCCCAAGGGGTCTCCTTAAATACTGGGCAGCTCAGAGATGGAGGATGAGGATGGGTGGGTGGGCATGCTCCTGTGAAAACAGAGCCCTGCCTTAGGCTGTAGCTGAGTTTTGGGGGGATGGGGGAGGGAAACACACAAGCAATTACTGGCAGTGTCACCACAAATATCTATTTTGGCAAGTGTTAGGATGACACATTCCTTCCATGCTTCCGTATGGGTTTACCAACACAACCATTATCTCCAGCAGCACTATGTTCACAGGCCAAGCATTAGCTGCTCCTGTGGCAGTACCCAGATCTGGGCTTCAGGGCCTGGCTTGGAAATTTACAGTGGGCAGCAGCACTTCTTGAAAGTCCATGGCCAGGCCAGGCCTGCCACAAAGAGTCAGGCAGGGAGGAGGTACCACATCTTATGGGTCATCACTAGTGTCTCTGCTGTCAGAGATGGAAGAATCAAGACGTGCGTCTCCCTGCATGCTGCTCTCCTCTCTGTTTTCAGCCAGGAGCTTAACAAGGAAATTAAAACGCTAAGCCTTGGGCTAGAATGCTGCATCTCTGCACTACGCTGCTGCCAGTTGCTGTGATGGCAGCTAAAGAGGCCTTCAGCCTTGCAAGGCCAGTGTCATCGGCCCGTGCTGTTGGAAAACACAGGGATCTGGGAATGGCTGAATTGTGCGATCCACACCTCTGATGACAGAGTTCCCAGCTTCTTTATACACTCATAACCCTTTCCTTGGTTTTAGTGCATCTCATAGATGAAGCATGAAGAGTTTGCAGGATCCCTAACCTCCTCCTGCTCAACCATGTTTTCCTTTCCAAAGCTGCGAAGGAGTCTTTGAAGCTCTGCTGTTAGAAGGTGGGCCAAGACAGGAGTGCAGTGTCGCTACCCCTGCCTCATTCACAGGCAGCTGATTCCCTGTAGGCTTGTTCTCAGACAGCCATCCCTTATGCTCTTCCCCATCTCCCTGTCTCCTTCTTTGCTCTCTCTGGATTTTGAAGCACTGAGTTCCCTTCAGCCAACAACAGATGTTACTTACCTCTTCCTCTTCCTGATATACAGAACCTGAAGGAGAAAGAAAACCATCATCAGAATAGTCCCAGTAGGATGGGGAACAGCTAAGAAGGGACATTTTGGGCACAGGGCACACAGAAAGGAGGTGTAGAAAATCTGGTGTCACTGTGCAGCAAAGCAGGGGGAAAGGAGAAATGACAACCGAAAATGAAATTTCATATGCATCAGTGTAAGCTTGGTAGCACATCATGTCTGACCCTAAGTGCTCGAGTGGCCTGTTATTAGGTGTGTTAGTAGTAGTAAGAGTGTTAGGTGTATTATTATTAGGCGTAGCTCAGCACACTTCTGTTGACTGCAGAACACATGTTGTAATTTAAGAGTGGACGAAGAACCTTCCCTTCACAGTTTTCATCGGTAGATTTCCTACAGTGTAGAAGTGCTGTTACCCCCTCCCCAGTATAAAGGGAAGAAGTAAAGAGGGCATGCTCAGTGACTTGCCTCGTGTCAGCCAGTAAGAGTGGCTACTCTGCGAAGAAAGTGAGGCTTTTGGCCTCCAGAGCCTTGTTCTGAGAACTACGAACGCTGGATGTTGCTCTTGGGAACTTATGACCATTTCCAGGATAATGTTTCCAGGTTCTCTTAGGGGCTTTTGGAAAAACTCCTCCTTGGGCCTGCAATGAAATTTTGCAGTAGTCCCTTCCTGTAGGCTCCTCTGATGGTTGTATTAGTGAAGCTCTTCCTCACGCGAGGAATGGGAGCTTGCTGCTACCTTCTGTTCTCTGTTGGCAGGTAAACAATCTGGTTATATATCAAAAGAAGAACTGCAGCACTTGCATTGCCCATGTCAGGCCCAGAACTATAGTTTCTGAAAGCTTCTGCCTACAGCATTAATGGCAAGGTTAGTTACACAGCAAATCCTCAAGGACTTTGCTGATACCCAGCAAGTAGAACCTTAGAACTCCAGTCCAGAATGAGTCCAGCTAAAATGGATTCAGGCCGCTTTAATTCAAAAAGTCATGTCCACAGGGGAGATTAACATGGTTTCAACAGACTCCTTTAAAAGTTAACATGGGTGAACTTTCG